CTGAAAAGGTTAACATGTTTGTAGTTTGGTTTTGCGTTGATATTGGTTTGTTATTAGCCAGAGTGGTGTTCTCTTGTTAACATTGCTGTGTTTATGGTTTTGTTAATAGCTGGAGTAAGTTCAATATTTCCTCCATGATCTTCAGCTTTATGCTGAATCATTTATTTACAGTTTTTTGGATAATGTAAATAGGCGTGTTTAAAAACAAAAGTGAAGGGGGGTATATGGGGCGCGGCCACAGTGTTAGGACAGGTTCAAGCCTCGGACTAATGAGAGGGCACAGTCCTCTCGTGGCAAAGCCACGTGCAAGTCCCAGCTGGAGGGCAGAGCCCTCCCAGCACAATGATAGCCAACGGCTACAGCTGTGAGCTTGAGCCTGTGGCCCGAACACATGGCCCCACATGCCTTGGGATAGAGTTCAGGTGCATGTAGTTGAGTGGGGTGGAGAATGCTGTAAACAATGTGATCACACCCCTACTTTGCCTCATGGCATCTGCTATAAAATACAGACACGGCTTGTGGGCGCTGGCGCTGTCTCCTCATCAGGGAGCAGCGTCCCACCGAGACCCAGCTTTCATTCTCTTGTCTGTCTTTTCACAATCCTTTCATCACCCCCCCACTCAGGGTCACCCTTGGCTGTGCTGGCGCGTCACAGGCCCCACGCTGCCCCCACACCGGGTCAGGCTCTGTCCTGCCTCCCTGAGGAGCCAATGCTTCCTGCTCAGCTCCTGTCCTACTAGGGCCCTGTCGGAGTCCATGCTGCACTGAGTGAAGGTGTTCACCGCCTTGTGTTCCACAGTCACCGCCGGGACCCCAAGGTGTATACTCCTCCCCTGAGCAGATCCCCAGGTGGGAGCGCAGGGCCTGAGGGCTGGGGACCCGGTCATCTCCCGGGCTCCTCTCTCAGTGTTTCCCCTCCTGGGCAGGCAGGTCTCCCAGCATCATCCCCTCAGGCCTGTGGGTGAAGACTCTCCTGCTGGCTGGTCCCAGGGACCCACGTGGTGCCCGCACAGGCCTCTCCTCCGGGCTCTCAGCAGGAGTAGGTGCGAGATGAGGGGGTGCAAGGAGGAGATTCATGGGCTCAGGGTCCTGGGGAGGGGCAGGGATCCACCCTCCAGACCTGTCGGAGGAGCCCAGGGAGGGAGGTTTTTCTCTCTCTAATCCACCATTTCCATCACCAGGAACAGAGGCCACAGA